AGTATGTCAATAGTCTTTGGAAACTAATGACATCATTCTATTTATAGCATTCTGTTTTCAGTAGTGGTATTTCCATTTACAAAATATAGTAATTCTCGACTGCTGAAAATGTTAAATCCTTGAAAACGTAGCATTCCTATGTGTGATGTTAACATGGTTCTCGAGCAGTTGTTAGCCAAAGATTCATTTGATGAATTCGATTTACTTGTACATTTCAGGATTAGAGACAAGTTCTGTTTAGAAATAACTCCAAGAACAGTTTTTATATTTTATTTTCGCATTGAAAGCCAGTCAGATTTGCTTCAGCCTCAAAGAGCATGTTTATGTAAAATTAAATTAATGCTGGCAGCTAGCTGCCCTTTTTTTCCTAAACGGGAAATGGGTTAAACGTACATTTCAGTGGTATTAAGTACATTCACACCTCTTTGTAGCCATCAACATCATCTGTCCATAGAATTCTTTTCATCTTGCAAAACTGAACTGAACCCATTAAACACTAACTGCCCACTCCCTTCTCCCCTTAGCCCCTTGCAACCACCTTTTTACTCTGTTTATGGATCTGACTACTCTAAAAAGCTCCTATGAGTAGAATCATACAGTATTTGTCCTTTTTATTACTGGCAAAGTTCACTCAGCATAACGCCTTCAAGTTTCATCCACAGTATCAGAATTTACTTCTTTTTTAAGGCTGAATAATATTCTATTGTATGGATAGACCACATTTTGTTTATCCATTCATCCTTTGATGGGTATTTTGGATAAGTGAATAATGCTGGTGTGAACATGGGTGTACAAATATATCTTTGTTATCATTGAATGTTTTGATTGTGTAGCAAGATGCATAAGATAGACTTCAATATTTATTAACCTTTGATAACTAAAGAAAGGAACAAATTGAGAAGCTCTGTTGATTACACTTGCTCAAGGTCCTTGAGATCACTTCACATATTTGTCAGTTATCTCAATATTTTAGGTGGGATTTAAATAATGTGTCTAACCACATAAAGGCCCTCTAATGACTAAATTATTATAAAAAAACCTTAAAAAATAAAGTTAAAAATAATTTCTTAAAAGTCTGGAATTGATAGTTTTTCTAGAGGGCCAGAACACTGGTAATCCTGAAGCCTGAAGAAGGAGCTGGTTGTAGTGAACAATATGTACGCAGATAAGCAAAATAAAATGCTGAGTTGGTAAAAAGTGTACTTTGCATTTTTCAACATCTATATAGTGGTTCTGAATTAAATTTTAAAATATAAAATCTGCACATTACATTAACGTACAAAAATAACTTGAAATGTGCATATAATTATATAATTTTTTAAAAATTTAAAAACACATATATTTTTATATTGCCCCCTACCTTCTATCTTGGCAGATATTTTTTGTGGAGGACAAGTGGCAAATCTAATTCATGCATTTCTCAAAGCTATCTAGTTCGTTGATGTCATCCTTTCCTGTTTACAAGCACTATTGCGTACTTAATTCTGAGTGTGCGTGTGTGTGTGTGTGTGTGTGTATCTTTGGCCATTTTACTGGGGTTTGAGAAGGAGGGGAGAGAGAACTTTCAGGGTTACAATGCCATCTTGAAACCAAAGTCAAAATTTTATTTGATGAAGTCATTAAAATCTAGATGTCATGGAAAAAGAGCTTTCTTTAAATTCTCTTTCAGGAGATGTTGGTGTATTGGCTATGCTCTTTTAAAAGAAGAACATTTTTCTTAAACTAAATATTTTTTTCAGCAATAATCCCACTGCTCCAAATCTAATACTGGTTCAATATTCTCTTTTAATATTCTCTTTAGTATTTGTCTAGTGACAAATACTCATAAGGAGACACTTTTTCATTCCAGATTCCATGAACTTAACCATTGGATAAGAAGTAATTTTTTTTAAAATTATTTGTTTGAAAGCAAAAATGAGCCAATAAAAAGAATTGATGAAAGTTATACAACCTAATGTAGAATTTAAAAGTAACATGAATTGTGCTAACATAAAATTTTTAAAATGTTAAAAATATTATTCATGCAAATATAAAATAAAATATTTAAGATTTTATTCAACTAATTAATTCATGAGGGACTCAGTATGATGTTTACTTCAAAGAAGAACTAGTAAGATATTAAGTTTCAAAGGAAAATTTGAATATTTTCAGTCAGGAATGATAAAACAAATTTGCTAATAGATGCAAAACTGGTTAACTGGTTAATATATAGGACAAAATCTAATTAGTAGGTTTATCTTATTTTTACCCAGCAGAAATCACTTATATCTCTACTGGAAAAAATTAATTTGCACTGCTATGGACAAAAATCTTTTGCATTATCATCAATTTTCTGCAAATTAACTTCTACCTCTACAGAATTATAAAATAGCCTAGTCAATAGAAAGTCCATTAAAGGTTCACAACCCTATAGAATCAGATAATCTCTAGAAGTGCTACTAGACAACCCACTACCAGCACCCCACTGAAAAGACACCTAATAATCTCGTTTGCCCATTTCCCAGTTGTGGACAATTTTTGCGAACATCAGCAATTTAAAATACACACACACACACACGTACATACACAAATCTATCTATCTATTTATTTATTTGTTTGTTTGTTTGTTTGTTTGTTTATTTATTTTCTGCAGGGGGCATGGCAAAAATGGAGAGGTATAGGTTGGTTTAAAAATGTCTTAAATGAATGTATTTTTGCTGAAACAATTACATGATTTCGTGGAGAGCCGAGTTTAGCAAAATTTTGCCTAAATAACAAGAGATAGGCTACAATACTTGCACTGTCCATCTCCTGCCCTCCAAGCAGGCTCTTTCTTATCTTTGCTGAACAAAAAAATAATAATTAGCAAGAAAGCCTGCTGCAAAAGAGGTTAGGAAGTTTATTTTTAACTACTTCTTTTTAAGGTTGCACAAGTTTAGCCCTTATATGGGAGTATTCATGGGTGGTTAGATTTAGAACAGGCTCATGGTAGAGAGAGAAAGCCAGTGAGGATATGGGTGAAGTAGTGGGGGCCCTGCTCTTGGAGCACCCCACGGACATCACAAGCTCAGAGCCTTCAAACTGGAACTTAGTTCTGCCCCTGAAGCCTCTCCCTGCCCCGACTTGTAACAACTCCCTTTGGGTCTCTAGCTCAGTGACTCCCACCACTATCAACTCAGTTGCCCAAACCAGAAATTTAGGTGACATCTGTTATTTCTCTTTCCTTCTACTCCATTCTACTGGTCATAAACCCAGTGGATTCCACCCAGTACCACTCTCCTTTGCCACTTCTCTCCGCACTCATTGTCGGTTCCCTGCTCCTAGACGTGTCCTTTCTTGCCTGGGGACCCGCAGCAGCTCCAGGCTGGTCTCTCTGCCTCCCTAGCCCAATCCCAATCTCACAGACTCTGGGAGGCTTTTCAGATGAGGTCACGCTGCTTAAAACTCCGTTACAGCCTCACGGCAGCCCCCTTTACTTGGTTATGAGGTCTTAACTTATTTATCTCTGCATCTAGCGCCTCTCTCTAATCACCTGTTCCCGTTCGAAGGGGGTCCTCCCCGCCATTTCTAGAAGATACTCTCTTGTCCTTGTCTCTCTGCGTATGACTTTCTCACCTGCCTAGGTTCCTCTCCCGCGCCCTTTTCATCCTCAGGGGCTTAGTTTACTTACTTTCTCAGAGCGGCAGGAACTCCTGCCAGCCCTCCGCCCCCACCCCCCACCGCAACTCTGTCGCCCTTTAAGGACTTGTCACCCGGTCAAGCCTGTCGCCCCTGAAAGGCCCGGACCGGCGGCTTCTTGCCCTCTCATCTTGCCCCTGGAGCTCCAGCCCCCTCACCCCAGCTCTCTTTCACCACCTGGAAGATTCCTGTTCTTTCTGCCCCTCAGCACAGTTCTTTGCCACCCTAGGGGTGCGTCTCGGAGTCGCGGACCGGCTCGGGTCCCGCGTTCGTTTCACACGCTTAGGGCACAATGGACTTTCCCTTCTAGCACAGTCCGGGACCCTCCATTTAGCTGTGTCATTATCTGCCGGGTGACTGTCCCTCCCTTTCAGAACGTACGTACGGAGCCGGACGGACCCTCTTTGCCCGCTGTGTGTCCCCAGTGCCCACCGCGCGCCTGGCAGGTGCACGAATGAGTGCAGGGGAGAGTGGAAGGAATGAGCGAAGGAGTGACTGAATGAATGACCGTCTGCCCGGAGCGCAGGCCCAGCCCCGCCGCCACCCCCGGACCCCCCGCCGCCCT